TCTGCTTGGTGGTTCTTTGACTGTGTGGATCATCACAGTTTGGGCAATGTCACTACGCAGTGTTGACATCGACTTGCACAGCAATAACAGGGACCACCTCAGCACAGCTCAAAACTTTGCATGAATCAAGCCAATCGTCAAAAAAAAACCCAAAGGGCAAAGTTTGTTACACACTTTGTGCAATTGACCAACAACCTAACCGCAGAACATATGTAATGGGACAGTTGTTGCTACGCACATTTGCAATAACTGAACATCGCTCTGATGGTCATCCTCAGCAGTTCCTTGGAGCAGAGGGCATTGGCAGCCAGGCTGCAAACCTAGAACCCCGCACATAAAATGGGATGCAGCTGATAAAGGCACATGTCGGGAGACCTGTAGGCTTGGGACATAGCCTCCAATTCTGGTTGAATGTATACACATAAATAAGATTGATTGATGACAGTCACAACTTATTCTACACGATAACCATGTATCTATGACAAATATGAATTCCATGCTATTGATTGTGCATATATGCCCTTAAACATTCACAAAGACAAGATACTGTTCTTGAGCTAAAAGGACGATGACGGCCACAACTCCAACCCAGGCAGTTGCTGGAACACGTTGACGCCTTGCCATTCCACCAGAAAGTCGTGTCCCAGTAATCCTCTTCATGCCAAGTCATTGGAAAATAGTTCGTCTACACCACATGCTGAACCCCCAAGTCCTTGCGCTCGGCAGGCGCCGACAAGCGATGCAGCAGCCAGCCCGTGTAGGCCCAGTTCCCACGATCACATTTGTGCATTGCTCTCTGGGGATCAGCTCAGATTTGATGGCCCCTTCCTCACCTGTGTAATCTGCCGGCTCTCGTGGTTGCCCCTCAGAAGCGTCATGTGCGCTGGCCACCTTGCCTTCAGCAGCAGCAGCAGTGTGAACACCTCCAAGCTGTTGTAGCCTCGATCCACAAAGTCTCCCATAAATATGTAACTCGTGGAAGGCACCTCCCCGCCAGTTTCGAAGAGCTTCAGAAGGTCGTGGAACTGGCCATGGATGTCTCCACAAACCTGTGAAGAAAGCAGAGAGCAAATACAAAGAAAGAAATAAATACAAAGAATAAAGAAGAAACAAATATGAAGAAAGAAATGTAAAGAAAAGGTTGATCTTTGCTTCCACAACGTTTCATGCCGAATGCTATGCTGCACAGTTTTTCAGTTGTTCATCCTTTTGGTGAGCTGTAACGATCCCTGGTTGGCAAAGACGGTTGGACGTGGCGGGTGCCGGTGTTGGCGGTGACACAGTGCCATTCTATGCTAGTATGCCACCTATTGAGACAACAAGCTCATGCCAATATTCACCAATATCAGCTTCCTGAACAGTGCCATCTTCTATCCGGTGGCACCAATTGCATTGTTAGGTGGGAGCAACGATGGCGTAATCCTCTGGCTGCACCACCTTCGTTTTCATTTGGCAAGGAGCTCAGCACGTATCCAGCAGGAGACTATTCTTATCATCTGACAGGCCAGTAGATGCCACCCCCCAGCTTCAATTGCCCAGCCCGATAGCCTGGATGCATTTCCTAGTGCAGGACATTTGCTGTTCCATTTGTCACTGAAACCCGCAACATTAAACATTTGACTCCAATGCGTTGATTCCCTGCACAGCCAACCAATGCCATTCAGTTGACTGTCATTTTTCGCTGCACATGCCATTCTGTGTTGTCTGCAAGTCCCTTGCACTGGGGACATCTACACAATCATCGCCTATAATATGGGAAAAAACCTCACACATTTCTTGTACGTGGGGGTTGCGGCATTTGCAGAGACGTGCTCTCCTCTGGCAGCAGGACAAGACTCGGGACAACGCCTTCAATCACGGGGCTGCACACCGGCGCTGGCTTGTGGGCAACCAGCGTGCCTCCAAGCCAGCAGATTTGTGCGTCCCTTGATGCAAACATCCACCCTTCAACGCACAGCTGCATCCTGGCACGCACGCATCCCGCGCATGACCGTACGCCACAGGCAGGCGCGGATACGGGAGGCGCTCCTTCGCGCGCGCATCCCAGCGAGCGCCGGCGCTCCCTGATCAAACCCTTTTTCTCCCCCGCGCCGCCCAGCGTCCCGGCACCTAATTATGGAGCCTGTGATTGCCTCCCAGGTGCAGGGGACTCGTTTCGTCGTGCGCTTACAACAAAACGCAAGAAGCCGAATCCACACGCCGCACACCGCAGCCAACCGGCTGCCCGCAGCTTGGTCTCCACTGCGGAAACTTGGGCAGCGTCCCAGCTGGCTAATCCGTGATTCGACTGCGAAGCCCGAGGCTCGGCCGCACTCACCGTCACGGGGAGGTTGACGGGCTGCACGTTCGACTCCTCCACCAGCAGCTCCTTCACCTTGAAGTGCAAGGGGCCCATGGAATTGGTCAAGTGGGCGCCCAATGGCCCGCCATCCCCGCCAGGGCGCAATTGCCCCGCCTTGTCTTTCGAAGGCAAATCCATGCAAGTGAATGCAGTGACCTCCACAGCCGCTGTCCTGGTCCCAATTTCAAGTCCGCAACCAGGAAAGAGGTGCTCAAGGGCTTCGGGGTTCGCGCCCCTGTGTTTGGAATCAGTGCCTGGCGCGAGTGAAGCAATTGACAGGCAACAGCCAGGCGCTCCGCAACAGAGGGAAGGTGATGCAGGAGCGAATGCCGTGTTGGACTCACGTATTCGCACAGCGTCCGCAGCTCCGGCTCCTCCAGGATCTCGCACTTTTTGACCTTCTCAATCCACCTGTCGAGATCGACCGCCATGGCTGCGCCCCCAAATGAATTGGTTGAGACGAAGTGCGCCCGCGGACTCTGCGGACTCCGCGGGCAGGCAGGGCCGGGGGTGTCGCCTGCAGTCGCTCGGGGCGGGCCGCGGTAGTGGGGAGGGACAGCGTCACCAGAAATGGGTGCTGCACCACGAGACGAGGGCACCAGCAACTGGTGGGCTGCACCGCAACCGCCTGAGAAACAACCCCGAATGTGGGTATCGAACAAAAAAATAAAAAAGTTACTTCCAGGGAGCAGTTAATTAATTATTAAAAACGGTACAGAACGGCGCAAGGGATGCATAAAAATGCATACTCACACATGCGCTGTTTTTGCAATTCTGGGCCCTTTGTGACGCGACTGGAAAGATTTGTCCATGGTTGATCGACACGATGTGTTTCCAAACTGATGCTTTTTGGCACGGCGCCGTGTTTCTGGACCCTCTCCTTGCCTTCGTATCCGCCGGTCTGTTATGCTGTCGTTGTGCTGATTTCAGGCAAGTGCTGCTGGGCAACCCTTCATTCTCCAGTGCATACGAGTGCAAGGGGCGTCGGACAGCACGGCGAGCAGTTGGCTTCCTTGCGCTTACAGTGCTTGGGCGGGCAGCACATTCTGAGGCGGCCTGGTGTGCTCGCAAAAGCTGTTCAAAGTACAGGAATGGCAATAACAAGGTCCTACCACATTTGGGGTTGGGAAGTTTGCCCAACAATATGGCCGAGCGCCGTGCTTCACAACTGTGGGACTACCACCTGCCTTGTCGACTTTGAGAGGCTCCCACAGGAGTTCAGCCCTTCCCCAAGTGCATTCTCCGCCGTCTGACAAGCACGCACACAAGCGCGTCTTTGAGGCCAATTGGCTGCGTGTGAATAAACTTTACCAAACATGCTAGAGAAACTCGCCGGCAAGGCTCGGCAAGCAGGCGTCGGAAGGAGGCTGTGCCCATCTGTTTCTGTCGTGCAAAACCTGTCGCGTATCTGGTGGCACGGTCTTCCAATCTCCCTTTCGGTGCCCGTTCAATTGTACACAGGTTTCCTTCACCTACATATGTTCGCTTCTCTTTCGCTTGCAATTTTACTGAACTCCTAACATTCGCCATCAAACTTGTGTATTGATATGACCGGTCTGCCTTGCCTCTCGTGTGGAACTAAGCCCTTCTCATCAGTCACATGCAAGCTCATCACGTTCGTGTCATCAGCACCGGCCCGTTGTATCAAATGGGTGTGCTTCGTGACAAGGGTGAGCATACCTTGAGAAGTGCTGGAGATGCACAGTTCCATGCTCTGCCACACAACTGGACAGTTGTCAACTATGCAACCATAAATTTACACTCTTACTAAAATGATGCACAGATACGTGTCCAGGTGTCAGTGCCGCCATCCCATATATTCCAATTCAACAGGTTGACTCTCAAATCGAATTGTCCTTCAACTGCAGATGTCACGGCGAGGCAAATTTGGCCAAAGATACACACTGCACCACCCTGGAACAGCAAGCCCCGCACTCTTGAGAGAATCCAAAAGCAAATTCCCTGCTGCTGCTGCAGGACACATTCCACAACAACGCCCGACGCGCCTGACATCGCACCTGCTACACAACAACAATCAAAATCAAGCATTGCGCCAGCCCAGAAAAGAAGGCCAATCTCCCTTGAGTTTCCCACACCCTGTCTCTCAGCAGAGGAGCCCTGCCAATGGCTGGAGCCATACCTCTCAACCAAGGCCGTCCGAGCAAAATTGGACCACGCGGCGCTGCAGCACACCCTGTGTCGACCGACAGCCAAAGTCCAGAAGCATCAATCACCCAAGGTCTTGGCCAGGTTAGCTAGAAGCACAGCCAGGCCTGGGGCGCCCTTTTGCAGGAGGTTGATCCGGGCTTCGTTCGTCGAGTTGGCGAACAAGGAGAGGCCAAAGACCAGCAGCTCTGAGAAGGAAAGGCGCGCCGACAGGAAGCCATGCCAGTGGAACTCCGAGAGGGAAAAGAAGGCACCAAAGAATTCGCGGGTTTGCTGCACACCAGCCACTCGGTGTCAATGCACGTGCAGCTGTTGGTGTTTCATTTTCCACACACGGCAGGGCAAAGTCTGTGCACGAAAATTGGGGACAACGAGTGCATCACAGCAAGCACAACCTGTGCTTTCATCCAGTGAGCAGGGGCAGCTGACCAGCAGACTGATGGTAGATGGTGACGGACTACATCGTCCCTTGACGAATGTTCACGTCTACATGGCACAGGGCACACTGCCATCGTTTGGAATCCTGAAACAGGGCACCTGCAGCACAATGGACTTGCAAATGTGTTCCTGGTCCTGGACACGTAGACAGATTTGTTGACTCAGCAGTGTGCACACTGCTGTTGCTGCTAATCTGATTACATGAAGCATCCACACTGGAACAAGCTCTGTCTCTTCTGTGCTTCTTTGGTAGATCCCTGTTGTGGTTTGTCAACATAAAAGCACGCTAGAAGCGTGCAAGGAACATTGTCCATCAGAATCGTGACCTAACAAATAAGCAACTCGATGCAAGGTAAACAATCGGTCACAGAACAAAGGTTGTTTGCCTTCAACATCGCAAGGCACCTGAGTAGCCTCTCCACAACAAAAAGCTTGGGCAGCTCGCACGGTCATTTACCGTACAGTGGGCGTCCAGGTATGGCAAACTAGGTGTCTTACTGCTTCAGAACCAGCAGATGGCATACAGTGCTGAAGGAAATGGCAGGGACAAGCAGTTTGCTTGGACTTTTCAGAGCATGACTTTTAGGACCAACGCCCAGTGGAACTTTCCCAACATGCCTGTCATGGAGTTCAATGGTTTGTGAAGTGTCATTATTTTCATCCACAACCATGAAGTGGATACCATTGCAGGCCCCAGCTACCACCGGAAGACTTAGAGCCGATATGATGGGCAAGGTATGCCACCTATGGGACTGATCTCCTTGCAGGGAAGCAGATTGTGGACAATGATGCCAACTCCATTCTTCCCTTCGAAGAACACAACCCAACGACATAAGCCCATGAGTCAACAAAGACCGGCAGCTGTACCTGCAAATCCAGCTGCAGCGTGACTTCCATTCCAAAGCAGAAGAAATCTCTCTGCCTTACGCGCTCAACAGGCCACAATTTCTGCCACACTCTTTCTGCCAAGCCGGTCACCTCCTGAAGGCTCCCATCTGCACGTCATGCGATCACCACACATCAACTCCGAGAAATGAAAATCTGCTGCAAATTTTGGAAGTGCTGCATGCGCAACTTGCAGCTCTGAGGGCTGTTGATTCACCAAAGCTATCGCAAACCAACGACAAGTCGAACAAGCACAATAGGCACAAAAGCATCAAGGACAGGCAGTTGTTGCTAAGAGCTGCCAGCAAAATCCTTGACGCAACACCCAAAGCCCACGGTGTACTTGAGCTTGGCTACATGTCGTCACCACACAATAAGATTGTGGATGCCCCCGCACAGCCATATCTGCATCCACAATGCGCTGCGCTTACCAGAAAAGACATGAGTCATACTGACCACAGAGGCCAAATTCCGCACAACAATATTCAGTACTCAGCATTGAGTATTGCAATATTCATGCATATGTGCAGTCAAATATTGCATGTTCAATTTTAGACATGCTGAAAATCGTGTATTAGCAACGCAAGCTGCATTAAAAATACACCAATCGTGCAAAATTTTCGGTGCAATGCTTCAGCAGGACTCTGCAGGCACTGGCAGCCAGCATAAATGAAGTAACTGGGCATCAGAAACACTCAAATCGCATAGTCCAAAAGCTGCGAAACATGGCCATTGCGCCTTGCAGGCGATGACGAGAACCCAAGAAAGTCCAATATTGTCCCTGCACGAAGAAAGCTTGACCGTTGCCGATGCAACCAATCATAGTCTGGGAATCGGCTGTCTGAAGCGCACAGCCATGCTGAGTGCAAACCAAGCTGCTAGACTGCCGACTCCTATTTACATTTTGTGCATTCGAATATTTCACATATTCCCATTCACATTTTAATATATCATACCCACAACTCATGTAGCCCATTGTTTTCAGACGCTGATGACATAGGCACATAGGACGACTTCGAGCTTCACTTCACAAGGGGGCAAGGGGGGCTGTCACCCAATGTTTGACTGTAAGTCGCTTCTGTTGGTGTGGATGTGCATTGTGCAAAGCTGAGTAACAATGCCAAGTTTAGATACTCAATTACTGTCGTTCTTGGAATTGTGATTTCTCTTCTTTCTTGGTTCTTCTTCATGGCCAACAGCACAGGTTCCACCCACGGATAATTCTGGACCGATCAGCAGATGGAGGGGAGCAAACCTGCTTTGCGAACAAATATTCATGGTTGCGAACGGCACAAGTCATCCCCCTACCCATTCAAGACCATTTGCGACGTAGTGAAGACCATGCATTACGAGAATTCAGAATCTGCAGTTTTTGCAGAACACGACCAGCAACTCGCCTCTACAAAGTTTACAGACCAAACAGATGTTGCAGGCCTCGCAGCTTCTTGTGAGGTTTCACAAGGACCATATTTCTTCGGTTGAACAAAAATTGCACCAGGATTCTATATGTCCTGTAGCACTCTGGAAAGACAAAAAGGAAACCAGCTGCACTCTCAAATGTGATGCAATATAAAGCAGTCAGCAACACAGCACTCACTTTGCTCTGAGTCCTTTTGTCGGGTGGACAGCTCGTCCACTATTGTGTCTGCCAGTGTGGGGACCACCCCAAGCATCCGTGATATCATGTACCCCGTGGATGGATGCACCATGCCTGCAGTGCCTCCTATTCCTAACACTCTCTGTGGCTTTTGAGGCAGAGCGCTGCCCATTGGTATGAGACAGTACTCCTCCTCCTCAACACGAGTTATCTGGACATGACACAGAATGGATCGACAATCGGACAACTTGTCTGCCTGCAATGCATGCTTTAGTCTCGTTTCGATTGTCCGGATTTGATATGAGAACGCCACAAAGCAGAGCTGCTATTGTATGATTTATCTTGTACCCGTGTGTGCCTAAATCCTACAAACGTTCCGCCTGGGGTTCTCCGGCCAACTGTTGCAGATAGTTAGTGGCTCCAGTATCATTTTTGGCCTCCTGCCAAACAGACTCGCAAATGCTCTTACTCAGCAGAGAACGCCCCATTTTCCACCAAGCAACCAATTTCTGTTCAAGAGACAACCACAACAAGCCTACAAGTGTAAATGACATGCACAGAGTTTCCACACATGCACGGGGCCACCAGCATGCCAAACTTCTATCTCGTGGCACAACAATTACCCAAGCCCCACCTTGATTCCCAACGACTCCACCCTGGCTTCGAACCTCTTCTTCAGCTCGTCAAAGGCGATCGGCGGCCTCGCCACCAGCGACGTCTCCTCAAGGAAAATGAGTTTCTCTGAAAAAGGCATGGCGTACATGAAGGTTGGGTCCTTCTTGTTGCGATCCCGCATGTCTGGCCGGTTCTCTGTGTGGGCATCCCTCCAGTCCATGAACACCATGGTGTCCAGGTCAAAGGGGTGCGACTCCACCTCTGGTGTCCATACACAAGGGGCTTGGCAACTGTTCAAAAGTCATTCAGGGCCCCAGCCAAACGCAGGCACTCTAATGAGGATGGCCTGAATCTGCTGGCTGGGGCGAAAGGCTGCCTGCGACAGGATTAAAGCCATGTGTGTGGGTGCTGTCAGCTGTGCTGTGGGGATTGTGAACAGAGCTTGGACACAGATGTCATAAAATTAACAACTGATGCTCAAAGTCAGAAACAGATCATGTGTGTGGATATCTAGTGTCCATGTCTGCCTACACTCTCCACCATCAGAGCACAGCCTCGCAAAGCCAGAAAGGGACAAATCAGTTCCGAAAGCCAATTATGGCGCAATTCTCCAAGCAGCCACACCTCAGCACAGGACCAGTCAGTAAACTCTGAGTCAGCATTCGTTCATAGTATTTGAGGTGGTAACAGGCACAAGGCTGATGGTGTGCAGATCTCAGATCTCAGTCGTTTTTGAAAGGTGCACAAGCAGCAGCTAGTGCATCACCCAATAGGTGAAGGGCAGTGCACTGCCACACTTTGACAAAGGCTGTCCAAGAAGATCTACAGATGCAAAATGCAGACAAGGGATGGTAGTCCAGTTTGTGGCACAATAGGATATTTAATGGCAAGGGGATGAGGTACAGCATTCCTGCTTCTCATTTTATTGGCCTTTCTGTATGTTAATCAGCAATATTCCTCTTTATTGGCATGCAATGGAGCCACAGCATGTCCTACTTATTCCCATTTCCTTGACATTGGATACAAGGTGATCACCAATGGGCTTACATTGCCTTACAATATCCTGTGAAGCAGCAAAGACCACTGCTCTTCTGTTTTCCAACAGGAAGGCCCCTTGACTCGTCCATGTGATGTCAGATTGTGCAACAAAACAGTTGCCCGGCAACAAGGCATGAACACAGCACAGTTGGTGCTACCTGCAAGTAAGCCATACGCAGCCTGGTAGCCAGGGTCAAATTTTTTGTCGAACTGGATCAATTTTCTGGCATGGCCAGTGGCGTCAAGGACGAGGGTTGTCTCCAGTACAGAGCCATCGCTGCACTTCACCTCCGATCGGTAGTCGTCATGCATGATGTCCTCAACTTTTGTGACATGAAATCGGACGCCTATAGCAGCCACAAGCAGCACTTTCACATCCAGACTGGCATCAGAGGTGCGATGCCGAGGTGCATCTTGGCAAAGCCACTTGACACCAAATTGGCCACCAACATCAAACAGGATTTACGGCAATGAATGGCCAAGTGTTGCCTCTACTGTCACCCTTTTTCTCAGCACATGGTTGCGCGCATTCGGTGAGCAACAGGTATACGGACAAGCGCATATTGCACACCTTGTTTCAGGCACCGTTCCAAAAACTTTCTCTTCAACTTCGGGCGGTCCACACGTGCATATGGCCGATTCAGAAACCTGCATTCCACAACAACACCACCCCCAGTCACAATCACAATCATGATGACAATCACAGTCACAGTCAATCCCTTTACCCTACCAGCTGGCAGGCCCAGTGGGACGAGTACCGGACACCCAACCCCACCACTACCCACAAAAGCTGGACCCCGTGAGGGCTGTCCCTCATTGGGACACTATCATCATAACATTAATGGAACTGCCAAGTCAGTGCACTCGCACGATGTTGTTGCCGCGCGTGCAACCAATTCTGTGTTGGGCTTGCGCTCTCTTGTCCCGCAACGACAACACCCATCACGCATCATGCTTGTACGCATGATGCATGATGCCTTCGAGTTCATTCTCTTCGACGGTGGGACCCGCAGCGCTGCCAAACGGAGCACGGCCCGCTGCACACTTGCTTGGGAGGGGTTGCTCCACTGAGCAGCCCGTGTTTCGGGGATCTAACGCATCTCGACAACACTAAAAAAAAAAGCGGGATGGGCACGGGGGCCCACCAGGCGCCCGCCCGTCGCACCCAAGCCCCTCCCCACCTCTCCCCGTCCTCCCCGTCGTGCAGGAACACCTTTGCCTTGGGCCACACCACCTCCAGGCAGTCCGCCAGCCCCATCGCCTCGAACTCGTCCACCCACACGCCGTAGTTGTTGGGCCACCAGCTGCGCGGCTCCGGGTCCACGATGCACACCCGGAAGCCTGCCCGCGAGACGCGATCCGCCACCGCCAGGCCCGACGGCCCCGCGCCCGCGATCACCAGATCGAAGGACGCCTCGCTGGAGGCGTCCAGCGGATGCAGCTCGACGTCGTCGAGCGTGCGGGGCGACCCAATCGGCCGCGGAGGCGCGGCGACCGCCCGGGATCGGATCGTGCTGCCCCTGGCCCGCCCTCGGAGGCACGCACGTCGATGAATGGGTCGAGGATTCGATCGCAGGGGCCTTGATGGCCCCGGGAGGGGCGGGGCTGGGTGGGGGGATGCGGCGATAGGGCGGCCAGCGGGGGTAGAGCGGGATGGATGGGGAGGGGATTGGAGGGCGTGGGAGATCATGGCGTCCGCTGCGGCGGGTAGGGCGCGGGGCCGCGTCCGCCGGGGGCGGCGGGCGGCGCCGGCGGGCCAGGGGCGGCGCGCCGCGTGGGTTGGCGCGCGAGCCAGGCGCTCGAAATCATGGATTGGGGGGCGGTGAGCCTGGATGGCAGGATGGCGGGGTGCGCCTGCCGGCGTGGGAACCGGCGACTCCTAAACTTTTTGCCAGTGCCGCCCCCGTGAAGGGGGCTGTGAATGTGAGTGCCAACTTGGCGGAAGCACGGAAGGACACCTGATGTGCCATTCCCAGCGCAGAACCACAACGAGCAAATGTCGCGCGTCGGCTGGTGTTCAGAGTGTTGCGCGGGGTGTTTATTATGGCGTTCGTGAGCGCCAACCAGTTTGGCGATGGCCCAACCCATCATCTCGGCCAGGCCTGTGGGGGGGGCAGTGAGCCGAGGGCTTTAAGGTTGAAAGTCCCAGTGGCCAGAAACCAGAAAGCAGCTCCAAGGGCCACTGCGTGACCCCAGCCGAGTTCCAAAATAGTCACAGACCCCGTATACAACCACATGAGCCAAGATCAAATTCACAGCTCTGCCAGCGCTTCCATTGCCATGGCCCTTTGATTCAATGGCTTTGCTGGTTGCAGTTTGTATTTCTGTGCAAGCGACGTGTATAAGTAGGCAAAACATACAAAGAAAATGGGCAAGGCTTCTGCAGAGTCATACACCGCAGATATGCGACTTCCACACGCATCAATAGCCCAGGGGCCGCCCCCCACCCCCAGACGCTTGGGGAGTGGGATGGTGTGGTTGAGGGGGATAGTTTGGGCGTCTGGACTGAAGTTTGTATGAATAGAAGCGATTCTAGAAAGACGAGCACTCGTGGATTTCGTTATCAATTGTTCAAATTCTGCAAACGACATGGCATTCCAGCACTTACGCTTTTGTGCTCGAACACCACTCTCTCCTGCGAGAGTCCAAGTCACCAAAGAAAAGGGCCATGCACATTAATGGCTTGCAGCCTATTGTGGCGAAAGTTGGCATGGCAATGACGTGCCCAGCTACTGTTTTACAGACGCATTGACCAGCAGCCCAATTTGCCCATGGAGTCTCAATGCGGGCCACTTACCCACCAACGGCATGCCCCCCCATACGGGCATAGCCACGATTTTCTTCACCATGTCTTGATGTGTCGATTGTAAAGTCTTAACAACTGCAATCTCTGCTACCAAGCTCCCACTGGTTTTGCCTCAAAATGTGCAAATTACCTCACTTCCTTCGAACTTCCGTGGCTTGTTTTCCTTGTGCACTGGCAGAGGGGTTGTGCAGAATACTAGAAACACCTCAGAGACAATCCACGTTTTGGAACCCTTGAATTTCGTCGCTTGACCACATCCTGTCCGCACACACAACGCCAACGGGGGACCTACGCCACAGGCTCATTGTTGCAGTGCAAATCAACCACCCAATTTCTTCGCTTTGCCATTCCTTCCAACCCAAAATGCACATTCTTTTGCCCACGGCCTCAAGGCAAAACGTTGAGGAGCCAAAAATTGACAACATCAAAAAACCGCCCATCTACCCCGATTAGTACTTCTGCATATTAATCAACACGCTGTTACCGTCATTCGTAATACTTCAAAATGTTTGGCAACTTTCGCTTGCCCAAGAGAGGAGAGCCCATTGCAGTCATGTCCTGAGCTTGTCGACAAAAAATCTGACCGCGCTGCCAAAACCCGTCTGAATGCTGCCCCATTGATGGCATCACCGCTTCCCAATGTACGTCGACCATTGAGGAATGACCTCCCTGCTTCCGTACCAGCTCAAGCCGCTGCCAGGGCTGTGGTACACGCTGTCGAGAATCACGTGCCGGGCGCTGGGAAGGAGGGCCGTGTTGATGTCACACACGCCGTCCCCAGTGGCATGCCCATCTCCACAGTTCGCCTGCACGCGTTTGAAAGCTCCCTTGGCCATTAAAAAGGAGGAAACAGGCTATTCAGTGGACTTCCCCCTTGCTGGGCATAGTTTCGTGGCTCATACCATGCATGCGGGATATGATATCATATACGTATACGTATACCCAGATACGCATGTCTTCAAGGGCATCAAAGATGATGTGGATGTCCCCGAGCGCATAAGGAGAAGCATGCAACGACGGGCAGAGCGATGTGCAATAAGTGAAAGGTCGATGGACGGCACGCATCCAAAACGGCGGAAACCACAGAACAAACAACGAACAAGTGAGCAACATCCTGTTGTCCATGCCTTTATCGCCAAGCATCTATAATGATGCCTAGGTCATGAATTACGCACACTCCACTTGTTTCGCTATTCCCAAGAATATTTTCCACAGGACAATTGCACCTGCGCGTTGATAACGTGTATGAAAATTATCAAAGCTCTGCCCTTTCGTATTCACATGGTTAGCACTTTGCGCAACCTCAGAATCTATAGTGCTTGCAGGTATGGATGAGATCGTCGCTAATTTCGTTTCATAGTCATACGTTACCTTGTAAGAAGCGAATGCAAAATCTTTCCGTGCAACCTCCTTCGGGACTCGTTTCAGTTGACTGTAGTACTGCCATCGTTCAGATAGAGTCAGTGGTCGGCCTGCGGACGCCCGTAGGACTTTGGATCAAGAAGGTTCACAGTACACCTTTGTCAAAACTTCTGTATGCCTGAGAACACAGGTGCTGCATGAATACACCAATGTCTGCAATAACGAGGTAATGAATAGCGCAAAATGTCAGCAATGGCAGCGTTGGCCTCCTTCCAATCTGTTGTTCCTTCTGCAGAAGAAGTGGACAAACAACCAGAGTTCCACTGACAGGAACAAAGGCAAAAAACAGCCAGGAAAGCCTGATGTCCTCAAGTTCTAAGTTTTGCATGTCGCTGCTTGAAGCGTATCGATCTGTTCTGCTCGATTGCCGTCGTACGATTTCCCCGGCTGAACACCAAGCGGGGCTGCCCGTGAAAATGAATACCAGTGGCAGAAAAGGCTCCATTGTCCCCCAATATTCCGCCTGCCAGATATAGCCATGCAGCCCCACCTGAGCTGATGACAGTTCTGTGGGTTCCATTCATCACACACACATGAAAAACGAAGCCCCAGTTGCTGCCTCCATGCCACATTGACTGCTGCGCATTGATCACGATGCAATCGGACACTTTGGCATCTATCCTCAATGCAAAAGCAAATGCCCAACGCTGTGCTCATCAGGGGAATGTACGGCCAGCCTTCTTCTCGTTCACAATGACTAACAAAAGAGCTGCTCACGTTTCAAGTACGGGGACACATCCCAAGGTTTGCATCACGGGCGCCAAGGCCATGTCTTCTCTACACACCTGTGGTCAACTTGCCGACAACGCAAACCACATTGACGTTTCCCAAGGAAGCAGCTGTTGGATAGAAATGATTTGCAAACTGCAAGCTGCTGCCGGCCGCAGCCTCTGGAAGACTGACGTCCACAGGCCCAGTCACCTTCTCCTGCAAAAGCGAATCCCAGTTGATGGTAGATGCCATCCAGACAGGACAAATTGTTGCTCTTGAAATGACAGGGTGATGTCAAGCCCTTCTACAGCGTGCCTTGTTGTCTTCAACAAAGTTGGCAACCAAGAAGTGGTGCTGTCTCTTCTGAAAAATAAAACATGTGCACAAAACTCTGGCAGTGATGGTGGCCCATAGTGGTCTTTACAATGGGTTCCAAGATTGCTGACACCACACCAAGGCGCATTTTTATCTTACTTTATTGTGCATTGATACATGAAGTGGAGATCACAAAATCCTTGTACTAAAAGACGCTCTCACAAGTGTCATTTAAAAACATGCCATTCGAGAAGAGGCACAGGGACACAAACACAGTTAAGAACAAGCTTGAATTGCTCAAAGGACGTGCACATTGCATTCACAACTCTTTTAATGTGCAGTTTCCAACATGCCCTCCTGTGAAGCACAAGAGCTGTGACTGCACCTGGACCCGCCCAAACGGATACAGCTCTTTTGACAGATGTGGTGCACCCAAAGTGATGAGGGTGTGCACTTTGCCACTGCGACCCCACAACTGACCTGCAAATAGACAGCTGTCAACAGCCCAGGTATACATCGGGAGCCACCAAGAATGCTTGCATTTCTATTGAGCCTCCTGCCGTTGGGAACCACAGGCATGGCCTTACTCTGGACATCAGACAGTTGCACACTTTGACTTCAAGCAATGGGCATTGCAGAACGAATACTGGCACAAATGTCACTGTACTTCACTGTGTTGGAAGGCGCCTTGACTATGTTGTGTCTGAAACCAATGAGATCAGGGCAGAGCTCATTCTAGGAACAACAAAAGCAAAGCTAACAAACAAGATTGAAAATTACAACGATGGACCAAGGGTACACCATCAATTAGCAAGCATGCCCTGCTGTTTCCTGAGTGCACATCTGTGATTGTGTGCTTTAGCAAGGCCAATATAGTCAATGCGCAGCACTGCATGAGGGCTTGAGCAAATGTATACCATTACTTCAACCTGCTTGACTTGAATGTAGTCAAAAAGTGCCATGCCGATCGCATACATAGGACACAAGAGTGTGCTGCGAGCCCTATGGGTGAATTGGCCAGAAAAACTGCAGAGGGCCCAACGACAGTACTTGCTTCTATTTTGCGGTGATTGGGGAAGAAGACACTTGCACTGCACACTCTTGGAAACAAGCAGCAGCTGAAAGGGACCATCACATTGTGTGGCAGCTATTTGTCAAACGAGAAAAAGGAAAGTATAAGGCACAATGTAGTATGACTTGGCAGAAGACAAGGCTTGCACATCACATGGCATCATCCAGCACAGCAGCTAAACTTGTGCCTCCCCCCATACCATTGTATTCTTTGTCACCCAAGCAAATCCGTGCCAACCATCCCCCAGCCGAATGGCCAACCTGTGAACGCCGAGTGCAAAGTGGTCAGCATGCCACGCACTTGAAGCATGCACCATGAAGACAAAGACATCTGCAGGCATTGTAGGCTTAGTGTGATGGCAGCATATTTTCTCACACACTTACACATTTCTCACACCAAATTGAGCAAAACACCAACAAAGATGTGTGTGATGCAGAAGTCATGCTCACCCTTATCCTCAACAATGCCCAAAAGCAGACAATTTACCGCTTTCACACATACAGCCCATCAACTCGTATGATCAACAGAGACCCTTGGCATTGTGGGGAATGTTGGTGTACAAGCAGCTATAGCCATTGGCAGGGATCCATTAAAGCACACAGTATCACAGCTCTGCCACTGTGATGCTTGCTGTTGGCAACATCTACACATATTCTTCCGGAATACAAACTGAGGAGGCACCACAATGCATACCAGCGATATTTTTCCGAATTCGCTGTGCATGTCATCAATTCGCTCTGCCAAAGGCTCCAGGTAGAACTCAAAGCTCGACCCCCACAAGGTTGGATACCAATCACTTTTTTTGATGGGTACAACCTCTGACACACACAGGTGACTCTATCAACACACAAGCTGTCACAACACATGAATGACCTTTTAATGCCTGAATGTTGATTTACAATGCTTGCAAGCGAAACAACCTGCAGTGAAAAGAAGCGAAGGTTGAACAGAGCACACCAGTGCTTCACACTCGAAGATGCTAACTCCTCTTTCACCCCTGGAAGTCATTTGCAAGCTCAACAAGCAGTTTCGGTGCCAAAACTGAGATGCCAGTAAATGCACCAGGAGCACATTGCAAAGGCCAACTGCAAGCACAGCAGTGTAGTAACCCAAACAACCCAAACAACCCAAATAATGCATGGATGAGTGTTGCATTCTGGCATAGTCTATTCGAAAATTATGGCCAGCAACTCTAAAGGACAATTTATGGGCTCCTGGATATGCACATAAAAACCACCACACAATTTTTCAAAACAAGATTTTCGCCAGAACCAATTTATAACAGGATGAGGATGCCCAATATCTGTCCTGTTTATTTATCTCTTGTTCCTCCATAGCACCTGCTGATGCTGAAAAAATGGCAGCTAACAAGGCATCCCATTAAATATGAAACACAATACAAACAGAATACCATTGCGACAAATAGACAATTCTAGAAACATAAAACAGCAACCACAAAGGCAACTTGCATAGCACCACGGAAGGCGCACATGACTTTAGGTTCATGGAGATCAAACTGGATTTTTTCAAGGGGGCACCCATTTTGAGAACGAATATCGCAATTAGGCCCCACCCCAGTCTGTCAACAAATAGGTTGTCATGCACTTCCATCACCTGCAGCAAAACCCATGTCCCTCATTGCCATTTTCATGTCTGAGTAGGCCTCTGAGCCAGACAAAAATCCCGGCAATATGAGAACAGCTCCATCTGTGCTCCTTGAGTCGGATTGGTTGCTGCCTGACAAGTGAGGAACAACAGATGAGCGCAATCGCAGCAAATTCTGCGAAATTCTTGAATGCGTTGGCACTGACTTGCGACGATCCAAGGTCACCTGACCCACTGCCTCCCCACAAGATTCCCGCTGACAGGGGCCTTGCGCATGTGCGAACATTGCTTGCAGCAAAATATAGACAAATGTCCTGGAGTGGGGACCATCCTGAGCCAAGGGATGGGGCAACTCTATGCCGCATCGTGAAGATGGCATGGAAGCTATCTGGAGGTAGGATGAAACATACAACAAGTTCGCCACAAGCCCACTGGGCATGTGTGCATCATCGCCCAGGAATGACACAGACATTTAGAGGGGAATGATAGAAGCTGACAACGTCACTGCCAAGATTAACACAATGCAAAGCACCTGGAGGCTTTCACCCCATTCTGCTACAACCTTGCAAGGACTACTGTCTATCAGGAATGGGAAATTAATGCATTGCTGGCACGCACACACAGACACACCCATGTCGCCATCCCAGACAAAATCTGGTGCACCCTACACTGCCCAATACATTGCCCCAATCTATATAACCTGTTTCCCAAGCCAGAAATCAAGTAAGTCAAAGCCACGTCCAAGGCATGAACTCCTGTTTCCACAGGGAGCAGAACACTAGACTTACCAGACAGCAATCCAAGCACCCAGACAAGACCCAGAACAACACTAACTTTGCATCTGGGTACATCTTAAAACTGTTGCCCTGTGGGCGGTTTTGCTATGTAGTGCGTGCACAGTTTTCTTTCTGACTGAATAAAGGGCCCCCACCATATCACCGCTTCCTCCTGTCGTTGGAATGAATAGTGCACCAGATCAAAATCTATGTTAAGCTGCTTTTTCAAGCTCACTGAACCACTGCCTCACTGAGCACTCTTGCATGGAACAGTGCTGAAGTCGGATTGCAGACGCACCTTCCTGTACATACTGTTAACAGGGTGAAGTGTACTGAATGAGGTCAACGATCCTACACTTTCAGAGACCCTGAAAATCTTGGCCATAGTCTTTTGAGCAATGCCTGACATAAACTTATGGTCTATGGTGCAAAACACTGCTCTGCTCATGTTATGAGGCATAGTGTTTGTGAATGCGAAGATGAGCAATTCATGTGCTCGTTTTCTCCTAGTCGGCCAGAATGGGCAGAAGTTGATGTGGTGCTCAACTGTTGGTGTCCTGCCAGACCAAGTGCCTTCAGTCCTGTGACCCTAACCAGCCAGTGGCACATTGTGGAAACATTGTGTCCGAGGGTAGTGCTTTGGCACTCATTCATGCAGCCAAAGTATTGAGACACATCCAAGGAAAGGAGCATTTTCTATCACTGCAGTCCACGTAAAACACAAAGTGCAAACTGACAAATGGACTAAGTCAACGATCGTCCATGGTTAGCTTTAAAGAGAAGGCAATCCAGACCACCTGGCCCAGTCTTGAAGACCTTCTTTCAGCAGTGCAATTACCCTGGGTTTGGGCTATGCAACTGCCAAGGCAGCAGGTATGATGCAAGTCCAAAGTGATAGGCTGTCCCACAAAATCCAGGTTGTGCACCAAGAGTCTCTGTTTCCACTGCTGCATTTGGTGATCATTCATGTTCCCTTCCCACATCCAAAGCTGGGCAGCCTTCAAGGATTCTTGTTTGAATTGTTAGTTAAGGATTACGGATGTGCGCCTGTGGCTTCTTGAAGCCACAATGCAAGTGGTCTTTGAGAAAGTGATATGCTTAACAAAGACCACCATTTTCAGCAAGATATCTGAGATTCATTTCTTACTGTACAAGCGATGACACTCTCTGAGGAGGTCTGTATTATTGTAGTCAGCAGTTAATCACGAGAGCCTCAATATATGAGCGGTGAGATATTTTTTGCAGCTATGTGTGCTATCTGTGAGACGAATTCATCAGTTTTTTCTTCCGCTGCACGCTTGAGGAACTGTATTTAAGAGTCTCCGAAGGTGGAAATTGACGCCACAGCCCCAATCAACCAGTTCTCCGGCGCCACCCAATTGAATACTGGATCGCATGGAGCCATACCAAAACGCATATCGGTCCAACGCCTGGTGCCGCGTTCACGGCATTGATTCCTCCCTCCCCCAGTGGTTCCTTCGATCCCCACAAGGTCTTATATGCACCGCAGTTCTCGAAATCCCCAGGTCGCACAGGCCCATCCATGGCACGGCAGCGAGCACAATTCCCAGGCGTCCGTTCCCCTAGCGCACAGAATAAGATGCCTGTGCAGCAACTCGACCTGATGAAGCCACCGCTCTCGCGCCATCGTGGCGACGCTCCGCGTCAGGCGCCCGACCCAGCCTCTCCGTTTGCCGCCTTGGTCCCCCTGCAGATTTGGGACGTCGGACGGTTGGCGAAATGCACAGGGCAGCATCCACTAGGACCAGGGACTGGGCCATCACCGCAGACGCCCGCTGGGCCTGCGGTGGGTGTGCGAGCGGTAGCAACCGCGACGTGGATAGCCGGCGCCAGGCTGGGCCGAACCGACCGACACGGATTGGGGGGGGGGGGGATGTGCCCGGATGAGTCTTTTGGGCAGTGCATACCAATTAGTCGCTGTCTTTTGCGTGAAGATCCCTTCTTGTTTTGACACCCTAAAACCCTGGACCACTGACGAAATGGTATTACTGCCTGCACCAAATCGGTGACTGCTTGCACCGAATCACGTGAACACTATGTCCTAACCTCAGTTGTAGGGTTAGGCTTAGTTTTAGGGTGAGTTTTAGGGTTACGTTAGGTTTAGGGCAGGTTTGGGTTTAAGGTTTAGGTTAGGTAAGTTTTAGAGGGAGTTGGTGCAAGCAGTCACTGATTTAGTGCAGAAAGTCACCGATTTGGTGCAGCCCGTAATTGTACGCAACGACTGACCCTCAGGCCCCCGTTGGCCTTGTCAGCTTAAAAAGAAGGAATCCTCACGAAAAAGACCGAGGGACCAATAAATTATCGCTGGGGACCTGGGGGAATCGATATCCGACTCTTTTTGGAATTGGGACTGGGCACGGGTGGTAATCGGCAATTGCTAGTCAATACACAATGCGAAAATACAGAAGTACAAAAGCAACTTTATGCATGGATGAGACACAAACCCACAGAAGCCTCCATAGCTTACTCCATCGCTGGATTTGTGCATCGCTGGTTTTGAATTGAATTGAATTTTCTGGAGTTGTGCATGGCGAGCGCCGCATGTACTGCGGCGCACTGTTCGGCGAGTCGGACATTTCCCGATTTTTGCGCGACTGATAGCCTGTGTGAGGCGCGGTGCGCTGTTCCTCCAGGTTAGCCATCACTCTGCATCGGCGAAGAACCCGCCATTGTGTAGGAAGGCACAAGGACATGGTTCCATCACTGTGCTGCAAATGTGGCTAACATCTGCACAAGCACACATATGCAGCCTATTTCTCTGCCAAGGACTGTAATGATCTGTCAATAACAGCACTGCTCTGCCGACAACCTGGACAATCATTGAGCTGTTGCTAATCTGGTTCCGGCAGATAGACCGAGTGCGTCCACATAGTGACCGCACGTACCCCCCACCCCACCCCAGTGAGAATTCGACGCTGAGTGTAGCGCAATCGCTCCAGTGTGACCCCCTTACGAGTCGCGTCGCTGACGCAGCAGTGCAATTGGCGTTGAACACACACGCAGGAAGCCAGCCCCACGGTGCCTTCCAGCCCTAGCAACGGTCGCCTTCCCAGGACTTTTCATATCTTGAGATCCGAGTGCTTGCGGGACTGATGCACTGAACATTTGCTTGTTGCACAATGCTACAACACAACCAAGATGCAATGTTTTGGAAAAGGACGTCTGCATAAAGAACAACAGCCATGGATAAAATGAGTTGCTTTGGTGGCAGTGTAGGGACAGCAACCATCCATCATGTCCAGCCGACTGAACAACATGCATCAAACAGGACCAGGGTCGTAGACAGTCAGCAACGGTTTTCCATCCCTGGCCTTAGCCGTGCATGGATGTGTGCACCATTGCCAGGTGCCAAGGGGCAACAGTCAGCGGGGCAATGATGTTGGGGGTATGTTCAGGGGGCAGTAACTGCAACGCTTTGGTCACTCAAGCTGGTTCAACAGGATCAAACACCATTGATGTGGTACCATTTCACAGTCTGAAGATCAAGTGTGCAGGGTTCCCAGCATTCCACAATGCCCCACGGTGACTCTTCCAGCCCAGTTGACCCCTGACAGCTGAGCACTGTGCACTGGTGGAGATGGGGTGCCCAAGGGCATCCGATCGACACCCACCATGCAGGAAAACGCCGCTCACTGCATAGCAACGAGACCCAAACCCCCAAGCCTAAAACAACCATCGAAGAAGCCCCTCAAGCAACAATACACCTTCAAAGAACCATTCCCCGAAATCGCACCATGGCATCCCAACTGCCAAACATCGGGACTGGATGCTGCCCAGGAGGGCCGTCATTCCACCCTAGGTGGTGATCATATGATGTGACCTGTCACACTCTGCCAGCCTGTTCAACGGCGGCTCTGCCCACTGCCCTCGTTGCCTCTGCCTGTGCCTGTTGGATGCCACCACTGGTGCGGAAAGCTGTCATCAACTGCACAGCAACATCGCGCACATTTAGCCCATCGATTTTTTTGGAAATGTTGAGGACAAAAGAATATAGAGGCAGCTTCTGGCGGGTTGTTTCTACTTGGCGATTGTCTGGATACACACACAACAAGCCTCTACTGCCTGAGGGGGGGGGGAAGCACTGTGCCAACAGTGTTGAATGCCTGTACTGCATAGTTGCATTCATACACCAGAGCAAACATCGTGCTGACAGGCTGTGTGGGACATTGCGCAATTGCAAAGTCCAGACATTATGGATCAACCAAAAGGCTGCGCTTCTGACAAGACAACAACACCGGCAGGGCAGCTCGCGTGCATATCTACCCTGGCGCCTGCAACTATCTCGCTATGTGGAATAGTGCCATCAGCACACACACACACACACACACACACACACACACACCTTTCCTATGAAAATGTTCCTTTATCTGAGCCCTTTATGAAAGCACTGAGAAATGCCACTTCCACCAGGATCTTCCCTGTTGTTGCAAAGGTCATCTTGGGTTGTGTTCGTACAACAAAGTATGAATACGCATTTGGTGCTGTCCTCATGGCTTGCTTGTTATGTGCCTGTTGGGAAGCTGAGAGAATGTGTCAATTCGGGAGGCGACCTTTAGCAAGCCACAGCTCTCTAGGTTTAATAAGGACCAATATGGGCCACTGCAATTGCGGTGAACACAAGTTCCCGAAAGCAAAGGCACAAGCTTCAATGAGACAACCATAACATCTATTCATTCCCACTGCTTCTTGCAGCCCTTATAGTTATGAGCTATCTATCTGCCATCTCTACTTGTCTTCTTGCTGTTTCCTATTGCCCAGAAACATATCTCTCACTTATCTTTGCACACATATAGTTATCTCAACTGTAAGTATTCTTTTCGTCTCACCCTGCTCCAGAGGAAGATGCCCACAAGGGCACACAAGGTCCACAGTACAAAGCCGATGAGGTACACTACTCCAAGCCACACGTCTTCGTCATCAAACATGTCTATCATACGAATGAAGCCAGCAAACGCCTTCTTGTTGACACCAATGGGAGGGGCTGGAACCAGCACCAAAAAACAAACACAGGCATGTGAGTGTAATCGTCATGCGGTAATTGTCATGCAGCCATGGCTTACATAACATATTACTACACTATCCAACGCACGGCAACAACAATACCCACAATAAAGGCATGAACAACATCTTGAGCCCTACATTGTTTTGTGCTCATTTTCAGATGGCACTAGGCAAACATCTCTTCTGTTCGGGCAAGGGCAAGGCACCTGGATTCTTAACAGCAGCGCTATGTTTTAGAGATAAAGAGAGACAAAACAACACGGTCAATCAGGATAACACCCACAATGAGGCGGAGTAGGTGTGGGTGAAATGTAAGTGTCAACAGGATCAAGGGAATTATAACGATGAAAGCTGAAAACCAAACCACCTGTGTATTGCATTGTTCTGTTCGGCACCTGGTCAGCTGAATATGCAACCCATGACTTACTTTGTGACCTGTTGAACATGAGGCATGTCAGTTTGTTTCAGTACAGTTGGTGTGTCTCTATCACGGGACTTTTCCACTTCTTTTTCTGGCCAGCCATGAGGTCTTGTGCCACCATTTCGGGCAGGCATGCGCAAAAACAAGACTCTGTGCATGTTTCCCTGGACTGGTGGCATGACATTGAGCTGCGTAACAACTTGCTGTGGGAAACGACAGCGCACAGGGTCATCTTAGTTGCTATTTGATGAACGACAGAAAACCGGCAAGCTTTGCAAACAATGCAGAATGAACCAGAACATCAGAAAGAGATCATGGTCACAGGGCAAACGATTGTCTCCTGAGCTACTGTAAAATATTCAACCCTTCCGCATCAGACAATTTAATCGTTACCCGCATTTTTTTGTCTCAGCGTTACAGCTTTTTGTTTTGCTCCGCATCGTGTCCCGTGGGGTCGGGGAGGGCTACAGAAGCTGCATGCCAAGTTTCACGATGTCTTTCCAAGCTTTTCCCACCTGGGCGCCACCGGAATGGCGACTTTGCGCCTTTCGGCTGAGCTCAAATTGCCAGTATTTCTGCACAGCGACTCGTGCATCCATGGCTGCAAGACACCACGGGCAGTCCAGAGACCCTCGCGTCATAGCAGGGGCGAGTTCCAGACGCCTATTGGGTGCAGCATGGGACCCAATGGCGCTGTGGGTTGTGGCGAACCCAGCTCCTCTTGGAGCCAGGCGGAGCACTACCATATTGGCTGCTCCGCATTTCTCTCCCACACTGTAACTCTTCCATTCATAGCTCCACGAAAAAGGTCCCAGCATTGCGTCACTATGCGGAAGGGTTGAATACTATACGGTGTTGTCAGCTCCTGAACATCCGAGGAACGCAAAAGCTACAATCGCATGGGAACCTCTGCACCATGTTTCTGTCTACATTGTTGCATCATGACACATCACATCATCGCAGTGCTCATGTGTTGAAGGGTGAGTATGATTTGAAGCTTATCCAAGAAGACAAGAGCCAGCATTCTGGCAGCCTGCCTGTTTGAGTGTCTTCCCCTTTTCTCCATGTCTATTCACTGTCCATTCCGTGTGCGTCTACAACCCAGTTGCTGCTCATACACTGATTTCATTTGTTTGCAGCCTGGACAGGCTGGCACACGCAAGGCAGGGACATGGGGCATATATGCACTGGGGATCCGACATGTCAAGGAGTTGGAGCAACTATTTGTGGTGTGATTCACAGCAGCAGCAGCATATTGGTGTTGCGTTCAAACCAAACCCCACTGCAAAGAAAATTCCAGAATCAACAAAGCGATCTCCACTCACCAATGGCTCCCCAAACGCAAAACCCAATATGCACAATGTACAACATGAAGAAGCACATGTATGAGAACGCCCGGTCGTTGATGGCTGAATTGTAGATGCGACGGTACCACAGGACCCATGCAGCAGGAACTCCGACAACCAGAAACAACACTGCATCAAATCACAATCTCGCATTAGTGCCAGGCAACACAGGGCACATTGCTGAGGCATGAGAACCTCCCACGCAAATGCAGTTCCTTTCGGCGACTGGTTTGTTTCACTCTGGGACTGCAGGACAGCATAATATAGCCATGTGAGCGATGGAAAGGACAACGTGATGTACAGGGTGTTGCTGCCACAAGGGGACACAACACAAAGTCTGCCAAACCCAGATTCGGATGTATTTGGACATGTGCACACTCAGTGCACAAAATATTTCAAAGACACAAAAACATACACAGCCACTATACAACAAACATATACACTGGTCTCGTTCACTCATCTGTATTTGAAAGCAAAATACCAAAAACACAAACATGGCAAAGAAAACTTGTTCACTTTGGTGTAAAAAACAGTGTCTTGATGTTGAACATCCCTTCCAGCGATGTCATGCAAAAAAGCTGGGATGACAAAGGGCCTACAAGGATCTGGTAATAGTGCACTAAGCGTCCACTCACATGCCACAAGCATGCCTAAAACGAAGCTGGTGCCAGAGCCAACGCTGACCAGAAGTGCGAAGAAGTTCCACACCAGGGTCCCCACAAAAAGCTGCGCACACACACAAGTCAACGCGTTGATTCTTAGAGAGACAAGAACAGCTACCCAACAGGTAATGCTATGATTCCAAAGAGTAAACAGAGGTCTCTCTGGAGCAAGCATGCAGCCTTCATGCTTGGGAAAGCCGCCTGTGCTTTCTTGAAGCCCGGGATTCAGCTGCGCAACGCAGACCAGATATTGCTATGAAGCCAAGCTCCTTTTGGCCTGCAGTTGCTTTACTCGAGCGAGCAAGTGCCATCAAGTCTGCACAGGATGATGGTTGTACTGGGACATTAACTCTGCTGTCACATCGCTAGCCTGGGACATCATATCACACAGCACCTTTGTGCTGTGCTCTCATTCCAAGTATTGTGTATGCATATGGACACTTGGCATTGTCCCTGAATTGCGCAGGTTTCTGAGGACAAACCAAGTCAAAGTGCCTGCAGTACCCCTGCATGATATTGGACTGGTCTGCTTGTGACGTGGTGTATGCCGCACATTCGAGGTGCATGGCATGAACACTGCATCTCACAACCCTGTCTATGGGGATATAACACCTTACATTCTCTGTGGACTGAAAACTAAAAAATCTGAATGTTGAATGGACTATTGCATTCCTTCAGGTGTAACCACATGCTGTGTGTTATGTTTGTACATGTATATTAATTCACATCGCGTCCAGATTACCACACGATTTTCATACTGGACGTGTGTATACTGTGTGTCTACTCCAGGACTGTCCTGAACATTTGGCACATGGCTTGACTGTGATCACCTGTGTGACTGTACTTGACTAAACACTCTTTGCTATTATACAAGAAAAATGCTACCAACATATGATCAAGTGCACATAACTTGCTTTGGAACTGCCAAATGGTGTCGCATCCTGCTTGCAACACTGCGCTATGCACAGTAAAAGCACACCGCTTAACCAACATTATACATGAAATTGTGCCCGGCATCCCCTCTGTTTGCAGGGGTAGAACCTTGTCATGTTCTGGCCAATACAATCTAACTGGATTGCATTGACCACAGATGTTCACCATTCTTGGCTGCAAATGCTTCCCACTGCATGGCACACCAGGCCGTCTGCTTATGATTCAGGACACACAGCTATCTACATCATTGTCGGTCTCCACTGTACGTAACAGAGGTAAACAACAGCACATGCTGCTGATGAGGTAATTGTGTGTATTGCACGCTAACACAGGACATCTGTCCTTTCCTAATCAATGAACAGTCGTAACCGCACTAGCCTCACAGGGGAGTCCTCACCAGGTAGGACCAGAAGGTCCAGCGGACAAGCCTCTGCATGTGCTGTGGGATCTCAGCATCAATGTCATGGTACACCAATGGCCAGCACTTGGGAAAATTCTTTGTTCTTGGTGCTTGTGTTCCTGGTGCTGGCGCTGGCGGCGGAACAGGTGCCTGATCTAAGCCCCTCTCTTTCTGCAAGTGTGGAAATGCCATTTAGAACTGACAAGAATGATCAACTATTGATAATATCTTTCCAAACATCCACACACCACTGGCAGTTCGTCGACAAGGTACTCAAAGGATAAACAAGGAAACAACCAAGTGGCCATGGATGTCTGCAGGTCACAGGCAACGTACAATCTGCCAAAGATTAAAGAACAAACAATACTATCACCGAAGGGGCGCAGCAAGCTGCTGAAAGCTGGTGGCAAATTTGCTGGCATCACCGTTTGGGCTTCAGAATTAATGACAATCTGTTGCTTGTTTCGTGAAAAAAGTTGTCAACGACAACATTATCAGCATAAGATGCTATGCTAAAGGCATTGCACACTTTCTCATGCGTTGCCAGCAACGCCTCATCAACTGCAGCTTTTGCAGAAACTATCGCAACTTTGCCCAAATTCCAAATGCCAGCTGCAGCATCATTTCAAGCATTTAACACATGCTGCAAGTTCCCACACTGTTTCCTGCAGGAATTATCTCTCTTACTGTCTCTTGCACTTCTACAGTTGGTGATGAGAATGTTGTACAGCAACAGTGGCAGGATGTAAAACACAGGGTGCAACCTCGATTCTGTCTTGCACATCTGTGTTGCATGCAAGCAGCATGGCAAAATCTGGGCACTATCATGAGGGGGGAGCTCCACATATGGGTGCTGAAGATTGTGCTGCAGCATGCTGATCCACAAAAGCCAATGCAAGCAGCACATCGTGCACTACTGCTCCAAAAGCAGTTGGTTCCTTGCCACAAGTTCCAAGCTGCAGCACAAAGAGCACGAAGTGCCACAGGAGATCTGAAAGTGTCAGGCACCCACTTTCTTTGAGCCATTCTTTGGCGACCTTGGGCTTGTGTAATCTGGTGCTGGTGGTGGTGGGGCCGTGGACCATGCACCAGCTCCCGCACCATAGGCACCAGCTCCCCCACCATAGGCACCAACTCCTGAAGAACAACCACACTGATACAACATTTGGAACGCTTGCACAAAATACAACAACAAATGATGTCCCTTACATTCCAGCAGGGGTAACACAAAGACCAGCCACTCATCAACTACTTGGCTCATTTGGATTTCATTTGGATTTGCCCCAGAAGCACATGTCCCTTTTTAATGCAACCCAAGCTATTTTATGCTCCATGTGCTGCCCTGGCCCCCCAGAAGAAGTGTGGCTCCCGTGCCGCTTTGCAAGCAAGTGCAAAGCCATGCTGACCCCAAAACATTGATTTTGAGAACTGAATGCACTTCACTCAAAAGTTGAGGCCCCAAGAGTACAAGCCTGTTGTTTTGGTGCCTGCAACCTACACACAACTATTTTTCTGCCTTCATCATTGTTTTCAGCGCCACACTTTACTGGTTTGCTCCAATTGCTAGCACAGTGAAAAACAAACCTGACGCACTTCGTTTGGAGAGGGTGCCCCAAAACATAATCTGTTTCCCAGTTTTCAGATGCTTCTCAACACTGCAGCAACTTAACCTGGAATCGATGCTCCAAGTTACTTGCCTGTTGTGGCAGGAACATCATACCCTCCATCATCCTAGAGCACACACACAACAAGAGCAGATTCACAGACATGTAGGAAACGATGGCAGTGCACCGCAAGTAATATCGCATGGTTTTGAGTGCCTGTATCCCTGCAAACAGCATAGTAGTGGGCATTGGGCAGATCATGGGCCACTGCATTTGGGTTGACGTCATCACTGTTTATTCCCAGCCAAAGCTGTGAGGAATGCACTATGCAACAAAAAGAGCTGCCATTTAAGCGGCCCACAAGCAACCCAATCTCACCTCTGTCTCAGTGTGCTGGGTCACGGAGGGGTCCTGCGACGATGCACAACAGGTTTGGCAGTCAGCACCCTTGCTCTGACGGTTGCCCTCCCCTCCTCCCCCCTCTTTGCCACATGGCCCCATTCAGGGCATGATGCCTAAAGCCGCGACTCAATCCATGCAGCCATCAGCACGGAACGGAAGAACAGCGTCCAGCGCACTGCTGGTGCTCAAACGCAATCTGATCAACAACAAAAGCCCACCCCGCAGTTCCATGCGCCCACAGGAGCAGAAGGGTACCATGGCAAGTGGCGCATCGACAACGTTTTGAGGATGCCGGAAGGCGTCAAACTGCCGGTCGCGCTCATCTGCAGGAGCCCCCGCAACTGCGACGCCTTCCTTCACATAAGGGATCGGAACTCCACAACTGCACCCTAAGGCGCAAAAAGAAAATGACCCCAACCCTCACCCCTCCCCACCCAACAAAGTCCCATCCCTTCACCGCGAGTCCGACGCGCCCAGAAGACAAGCAGGGCGGGCCGACCACCTGATCCAAGCCCAGGCCCGCGCCGACAGCGCCAGCTGCGCCCGGCGAAATCGTTCCGAGGGCGTCAGTAGCAGGAAGCGGAGCCCCGCACGCCGGTGGCCGCCCATCCCGCTCGCCGCCCGCGCGATCAGTGCCCAACCCCAAACCAGCATTCCCCAACTTTACCCAGCTCTTTGCCCACAATTCCCCGCCTGGCCCCACCCACACATCACGCAACTCCCCCACCTCTTACCCCACCTTGCCCCACCCACCCTCCGCCACAGCACGCGCGGCTATTTGGCCCCCCTTGCTCCCCAAACTTCCAAACCCCCCTGTGCCCACTTTTGCCCATTGCGCCTCGGAACACCGATTCGGCAACGACAGATCGCGCCTCGGGCGCCTCACCGCGAACGGGTTGGGCTCCTTGCTGAAAGGGTTGCTGCGGGACATCTCCTCAACACCGCTCGAATCCGCCGCGGCTGTTCAATGATGCGGGCCCTGCTCCGGGCGACGAGCTCCTCGGGCAGGCGTCGGGCCTGAAGGCGGCCCCCCGGCAGCGGACGGCCGGTTGCGGGGGTGGCCGGGTGGCGGGGCAGGGGGGAGAACCAACTGAACGCGCTGCGGAAGTTTTCTGCTCTTTGCCGTGGCGCGAGGGCGGGCTCATCATCTGCCCAAATCTAGGAGGCCGTTGGGCTGACCCGGTTACGTCACTCTTGGCGAAATTCTGGGGCAAGGGGGAGCGGTCGGACTGGAGAAGAGGAGAGGGGAGAGTTTTTCGTTAAATCGGGATATACATGGCGCAAAACATGGTGGCAGTTGAATTGAACAGAAAGAACAGACTGAGGAAGTGATAGACCACTTCGACGATTCTCAAAACACACTCCATCTTTGCCCTTTCGATACCCATCAGCCATCCCACCAAACCGAGAATAGCGTTCACGCACTTCCCAACCCAGTAGACTCATTTTTCCATGAAACGGATCCCCTTTCCGATGGCGTCAGCCAGCGCAACCAGCATCTGGGCACCTGCAATCATTGTACTTGGCGACTCCATGCCAACACCGCACATCTCCATGGAAGCAATCGCCAATTTGCGCAATGCAACTCAACCAAAGCTTCCTCCACTGCACATGCCGACCGCTCAGCACTGCTGTAGGGCGCTACAGTACTCCAACTCCAGCGACTGCATATGTGGCAATGCAACGTGGCCCTCAGAATCTTTGGGATCCGCACAGATCAAGTCTGCGACTCCAGGGGGAGTGTCAGACATGCCAAAGTGCCTTGGGGCTCCTTAGGCTGGATCACGGACACTCGGGTACCGCGAGAGGGTGAGGTCGGATGGGACCGAGCCTCTCGAGGGGCTGTGGTGCAATGGGCCGCTATTGAGGCGGCTAGGACAGACATAATAAACACCAGGGGCCTGCCAGAGATGTGCCTTGACAAATTCCGGCGGTTATTTATTACAGGAGAGTTGTTCGGTACAAATATCAGTGATAATCTCATGCTCTCTTGTAATTCCCATTATGTCATCCTCACACAACTAGATTGATTCATACCTATACAGAACGCCCCATCACCGACACGAACCCATCATATTGCGTGCCAGTAAGATCCCCAAAATATCACTTGTAAGGGGCGAATGCCCA